AAAATGAAGTCATTTTTACTCATTTACAGTGTGATTTGCTCTAATCCTCCAAGAATGTAGTAGTAATAGTCAATTAGTTGAGATGACCTCCCTTCATTGTTTCATAAAAATGATCAAAATCTTTATCTAAGTCAGAACAAGACACTTGGTTTCAGAACAATCAATTTCCTGGCACTGCTCCTCTCTTTAGCCGCAGCCGCGGCTACTAATTATGACAACCTATAACCCCAGGATCCTTTACACATATATAAAAAGGTCAGCAGGGCCGGCCTGGTGGCGCACTGCTACAGTGCGCCGCTTGGGAAGCGTGGCAGGCGCTCCCGCTGAGGGTTCGGATCCCACATGCGGACCAGCTGCTCACTGGCTGAGCGAGGCGTGGGAGCAACACCGAGGGTTGCGATCCCGTTGCCGGTCCGGGTCCGGTACGGGCGCGACACTGAGGGTTGCGATCCGTTGCCGGTCACGAAAAAAGACAAAAAGGAAAAAAAATTAATAAATAAAATTAAAAAAAAAATAAAAAATAAAATAAAAAGGTTAGCAGGCATTACAGATCACCTGTACCTAATTTACTCTCTAATAAATTAAAAAAAATAATAAATAAAATAAAAAGGTTAGCAGGCATTACAGATCACCTGTACCTAATTTACTCTCTAATAAGATGGATGGAAAGAATGCAGAAATGAAGGGGGAGGGACTTTGAGCAGCGGTTGTCTAAGAATTATTATCTCCAGAGAATTCCAGGATTGTGAATTTGGAGAGCTGTATTTCTCCAGGCAAAGCCCTGCAGTGAAGAAAATCCAAAAATTAAGGTCTACCATGTTAACTTTAGGATCTATAAAAAATACCTCCAGGTATATGTAAATTACAAGTGGTGAGTTCTTAGAAAGCATGAGAACAAAGTTAATGTTGAAATTAGTGAATGTTCTGAAGATAAGCTGGTACTTAGCAGTGCTGTGTTCTGAAGACAAGAACATGAAGGGCCCCAAGAGCTTTGGGACCAACTGTTCTTTGAGGTCACTAATATCCAAACACTGAAATACACCTCAGTATATATCTAACAGACCATAAGGTAGAGTTCCAAAAACTACCCATTATTAATAGCAAACACATTTCTATTAAACCTCAAATTTTTAATTTTGTATACTCTTCAGAATACTTTTTATAAAAGGCTTGTATCAATATTATTTAATAGAAAAATCACATTAATTCTACTCACACAGTATTTATCATCATTTTGGAGAAGACTAGGTTGAACTTTATCTTTGCCCTTTTTGTGCAAACAGCTCACAAAAGTACCCAACAGACCCAAACTTATCAATGGCAAAGTCTGGCTGCTTAGGGAGAGCAAACTGGCTTGTTGCTGCCTTCAATGTGCAGCCAACAAATACGTACCGAATACTGACAGGGACTCGTAAAATGACCAGCGCTGCTCACAATTACAGCAACTGAAGCTGACTTATAGCTATCTGTTCAGGCAGGTCTCATGCTTCCTTTCTTGTTCGTGGTGTTACCTGAACCTAATAAACCTATATTCTAAATTTCTTCATAATTTAAATTTATGTTTGTGTGGCATACTTTCTCTCTTAATAGCAGTTATAAGTTATACTGAGGTTTTATTATATCTTTATTCTTTGATGACACTGTATAGAGTTCAAGAAAAAACGTTCCAATGTTAATAAAAATAGTATCAAATGCCAGATTTAGGTTTTCTTTTTTTTGACTGGTAAGGGGATCGCAACCCTTGGCTCGGTGTTGTCAGCACCACACTTAACCAGTGAGTGCACCGGCCATCCCTATATGGGACCCGAACCCGCGGTCTCGGCGCTATCAGCACCGCACTCTCCTGAGTGAGTCACGGGGCCGGCACCCAGATTTAGTCTTTAAATAAAACTCGAGGTGCTGGATCAAAGGTGGCCCTGTAGGGTCTACAACCTCTACAAACTTACTAAGATAGATCCCAGATCTATGCAGCTAGATTAGGTGGGGGTAATTTCCAAGACCCTCGGATCCTGCCCACAGACACTCATCTGTAAGGTACTTCAACACTAGTTTGAAATAATTCTAGATTTAATAAGTCAATATTAAGCCATTTAAGTTTATTTTACAGAATCTGTACTGTCAAGATATACCCAAATGAGATTAACACAGCATTAATCTTCAACCTTAATATAATATTTATAATACTATAAACTAATATTAGTTCTCCCAGTGGAAAGATTAAGGCTTTTGTCAACATTCAATATTTCTGTTGTAACCTAAAAGTCCCATATTACCAGTTCCCCTGGGAAAGATTTTATGTCAGGTCCCAAGACAGGAATTACATTTCCACTGAATTATCCTATATTCTCAGGACTGATTCCAGAACAATTGCTTTCATGAGGCAGATGTCACAGATAAACAGTTAACAGGTTAAAAAAAGAGTGCCGTGTTGTTTTACATTGATTTTAAGGAAGAAGTCATTAAGAGGTACATGTTTAAATAAAGGATGATTGTGTAAATTAGATTTCAACTGAAAGACAAATTTAGCAATTCAAATAAAGCTCCTAGAAACATACCGAAAAGAAAGCCAGATATACACACGATAATAAGAAACAGAATCTATGGAACTTTCATTTATCCTCTAGCCATGGTTTCAATGATATTTTCTGAACAAAGAATCAAAACACATGGTTTGTGTCAAAGGGTTTTTCTGCGCTATTTCTGAGTGTAAGAGGTTACCTGAGTGATTTTTATTTTTTTAATGCCAAATAATTTGTAACCTCCAAGCATTTAACGGCTTAAGATGACAGAAATGTGAAATCTGGATTGTCTCAGAAAACCGTTAATATGGTCACCAATGTTACAGCAGTGCCATGGCTGAGAGCTCTCCCTCCATTTATTCTACTAAGAAGGAACCATGATATTTTTTTCTCCTTTCTTCAGTATTTCTTTTGGGAGAGGGAAATAGGGAGGGAGGGAGATCAAACACCATTGACTATGGTCCCAGCAGCGGCCAAAAATCAAATGTAGAGATAACTTTGCTACCTACACTTTCCCAAGAAGTTGGGGACAAAGGGAGTTGTAGTGTTACTAAAGTGACAGTTTAGAGATTCTTTTGAATGGAAGATTAATTCCTAATTACATGAGACAGTGATCCTGCAGGAGGCCTATGCTGAAAAAATCTTCCTGTTGGAAAAATGCTATTATGAAGTTAGACTGGAGCAATGCATCAGCAAAGGAGGGCAAGCAGGAGGAAAACGTGTCAAGCATCAACTGGCGCACATTCAGTTTTCTGATTAGTTTTTTTCCCCCAGTCTCTTTTCTTCAGTCCTGCCTTCTAGCCAGGCCTCATGGTAGAAGTGGTAAGACATTTAGCAGGAAAACTTGGAAGTGTTCTACCCCACTTCAAAAATAACTTTGCTTAAAAACACGTATACAGCCAGTGATTAGCAATTAACATGTGAAAATAATTAACTACTCAGTAGTTAAATTCTGCTAATTATCAAAGTCACGGCCTAGTCAGCAGCATTACAAATGGAAGTCAAACTGCATTTCTTAAGCTTTTTCTGAATGCTAACAGGTCCCTTTCAGTGTTAACGGCACTTAAAACACATCTGCTTTTTTTTCATCTAATCTCTGAAATCTGTTCATTTTTCCCTTCATTTATAAAAACAGGAAAGGGGTCAATTTATCATTTGCTCTATAACTATTTGAATTTGATAAAGATTCCACGCAGATTAGTGTGTCATGTATGAAGAGAGTTGCACACAGGCTGCTTTCTAGAGCCAATTACACTTGTCTTTGTGACACCTCAGAGCTTGGACTGCAGTGGTTTCAGGTGCTTATAGTAAGATTCGTGGACCTGCAGAGAAGGAAGAGAGAAGAAACACTGATAAAGAGATTGCTATGTAAAACAGCAAAATAACATACTTTTTTTTTTTTGACGGCTGGCTGGTACAGGGATCTGAAACCTTGACCTTTGGGTCTAACCAACAGAGCTAACTGGCCAGCCCCTTTTATTAAAAATAGCATACTTTTAGTTGAGAGATTATTTGGACCTTATTTGGATCCTGAATCAAAGAACTTGTTAAGAAAAAAATTGAGCCAATTGGGGAAATCTGGACATTGGGTATTTCATGACATTAGTTTGTTTAGGTGTGGGAATGGTATTGTGGTTGTTTTTAAGGAGTCCTTTTCTATTAGAGCCACATATTGAAATATTTATGGATCATAGTATCTGATGTCTTAGATTTGTTTCAAAATAATCCCTAGGTGGTGGGGGATGGGAGGTGAGGGTTCAGATGAAACACACCGGCCATGAGTTGATAGCTGTTGAAGAGATGGACAAAGGGCACATGGAGGTGCATTAGAGTATTCTATTTTTGTGTATGTTTGAAAATGTTCAATTAGTTACTAAGTATCCAAGGGAATTAAAACCCTGTCTACTGTGGGAACAACCTAATTTCCTTCTGAACCTGGTGCTCAAATATAGTGACTGTCAGAAGCAGCCACAATGCTTTCAAAGTTTTCACAGATGAATCCCTTTCCAGAGGCTTTTCCTGCCCCAATATTTAAATGACGAATTTGAAAGGGTGAAAAGACATTGGTTTTTTACCTCTGCTTTGTTCAGTGGGGATTTCTTGGCCCACTCAAACAAGTTTTCATACACATTCCCATCGTAGCGGCCAAGCACAGAGCCGAGCGTCAGATCCTGAAAGTCAAATGCATCGACCAAAGCAACTGCATCAGGGCGAATGAGAGTGAGTAACTCCTTTATATGCTGGTTTACTTGGGAAATTTGAGACTCTGTCATGATGCTTCCCTAAAAGAAACCCAAATAAATAAATAAATAAGAAAATAAATTAAATATATATATATATATATAAATATTTATACACACACAAATATAAAGTAGATAACAATTATGTTTCTTAAAAAAAAAAAAAAGACTTCTACTTAGAAAATACTCACCTGAAGAAAATCCCCTGCATTCTGACTGATTCCATACAGAGAATACAAGAGACATAAATTCTTTAAGACAGCTTGGACAGATTTATCTTGAATTTTGAGGAGTTTTTCTGAAAAGAGCTTAACTACCACATAGTGGCAATGTGCCTAGATAAAAAGAAAACAAGGTGTGAGAACCTTGGAAATAGATTCAGTACATGATGACAAGGGATTTGCACTAATAAAATGGGGGATGCTCGTGGGGGTTGCGGCGGGGAGTGGTGTGAGAGAAAGCTACCACTGACCTCGCTTGCTCGAACAAGGTCAACAGAAGTTAGGTTCCATGCTACCTCCTTGCTTTTTCTGTGAATCACTTCAGTTTGAAGGTTTTTTGCAGCAATTTCTACTAATCTGTTCAGAAATTAAAAAAAAAACAACAACTGGAGATCTGAGGAAATGATCAATAGTACTCATGGCTCCTTCTGGTCTATATGATCTGCAGCCCCAGAGTCCCCTGCCCCCTTGACCGTGTATTTTAACTCGGAGGGTGAGCTCACCTGGCTGCACGAAGTTTATATGCTTCGGTTAGGCTGTCGGTGCTGTTGATATCCACTGCAGCCGGCCAGACTGCTACCTGCTGTGGCTGGATGCGCTGACTAGGCAGGTCGTTCAAGTAGGAAACCATGCCAAATACCAAATTTCCTGAGTGCACATGGTCATAACTTTTCATCAAGAACCTAAAAATCACCAGTACACACGCTCTTAGTAACTCTACTCTTGAAATAACCTTAAGCTATGTGATAGGCACAGAGGGCAAAATTATGCCTTTCAGGAACAAATACATACACACGCACACACACACACAGAGTGAAGAGGAAACATGGGAACAGGGCTGGCCAGTTAGCTCAGTTGGTCAGAGTGTGGTAGTGACACCAAGGTCAAGGGTTCGGATCCCTGTACCAGCCAGCCGCAAACAAAACAAAACAAAAGAAACAAAAAAGAAAACATGGGAACAAGCGCCTATGAAAAGGACTTCAACATTCTTAGCAGATAAATCATGAATTTCGCTCTCACCTAGCTGTCTGTAGCATCATGACAGTGTTTTCTCCCTCAAAGGTGCAGGTAGGGGTGAAGTTGACATAAATATTTGGAAGACCACTGCAGTGAGAATAGCCATGCCCACCACAAGCCATCCGACACGCTTCAATAGCAGTGTTGGCTGTCCAAGAAGTGAAAGCCTTAAGCCCAGCAGTGAGGGCATGAAGCTGAGGGAAAAAGCACAAAGCCATTAGGAAATCTGTGCTGCTCAGAGCCTGAGTTTCCAATGAGAAAACATGTATCCACCTCTAACAAGACCGGTCACTGTCCAAACCAGTTGCCATGCATGCAAACTAAAGAAGCAGTTGTCTGACTAGCCTGAATCAATAACATTCCCACACTCCTTCCAAAACCATTCTATCTGGCAAAAAGTCACCACTTAACGTTCCTTTGATTGACGAATGACCAACATAGTACAATACTCCTAATGATATTTAAAATACTTAAAAACAGTTTGGTCTGAGTGTAGTGGTGTTTAAAACTAATTGATCACAACCAGTTACAGATTTCTTTGTTCCTTCTCCACTCCCATGCTTCATTTGACTAACCTTTAAAAAAACAAAGAAACAAAACTTAAAAATGAAACCCACATATCTTCACATATAATCCACTTTCAGTGAGAAAAAGTTCTAAGATTATATAATTCTTTTCAGAAAATCCCAAAGTTTAATATTCTCTGGATATTATCCAACAGGCAAACATGAAACAGAAGTGTACCCATGAGTGAACGCGGCCAAACACGTACCTCAGGCAGTTCACTCAGGTCCCCTTGGCCAATGCCTTCATTAATCCGATGATAGGTCTCCCTCATGTACGCACCCACAAACTGGAAGGCATAGGCAGTGGCCAAAAGTGGAAAGAGTTTATACTGCTGGGTTTGAAAATCCAAAATCTGCGGTTCTGGTTCACTAAATTATACATGAAAAGAAAAAAAAGAAAATAAAAAGTGAATGCTTATACAGAACCTGCTATGTGCCAGGTTCTAGTCTAGTCTAAGCATTTTGATATATTAACTTATTTAATCCTCATAAAGAACCTGTGAGGTAGCTACTATTATTATTCCCATTTTACAAAGAAAAACTGAGAAGTTGAGAATCTGCCTGAGGTCACGTGGCTAATAAGTGGCAGATCCCTGATTTAAATCTAGGCTATTTGACTCCAAAAGACCATGCTCTTAACCACTTTGTTGTAATGCCTTAGGCAGACAGAATTTTCTAGGTGCAAAATTGTATCTCATAGCAACATACAAAACCATGGGGCCAGACCGTGGCTCACTTGGGAGAGTGTGGTGCTGATAACACCAAGGCCATGGGTTCCGATGCCTATATAGGGATGGCTGGTTAGCTCACTTGGGAGAGCGTGGTGCTGACAATACCAGGTCAAGGGTTAAGATCCCCTTACTGGTCATCTTTAAAACAAAAACAAAAACAAAAAAACATACTAAACCAAAGCTAGTTAATCTCACAGCAAGAAGGCTGAAGAGGTCTAGCACACTACATGGCTGAATAACCTATATTTTGACCATAGTCTTGGAGAAGACCCAGTGCACAGAGTTATTTTGAAGTATATTTTGAAGTATAGGAATTAGCAAAGGTCTGCTCATATTGATTTCTTTATTAAGAGTTAAAAGAGTATCAGCGAGTCATGCCCAAGTAAATAGGAATAAACCATGGCGAAGAACACAAAAGGGAATCAATTTAATGCCACTTTCACCACACATAATTTGTACTTGTTAGTAGTAATTAGAATTTTCAAAGTGCCTTCAGCGTTCTGAACATTGCCTTTATAGAGCTCAAGTAATATTATTACTATTTTTCTTAGAAGGTTAAAAATAACAAAGTGTTTAGTCTCATCTTCCCTTTTAAGAAAAGGAAGCCTAAGTACTAGGTAGCAGGCCTAGTACACTGCCATCCTAGCTAACTCTGCATAACCAATGCATCTTTATCCACATTAGGGAATTCTGATATCTGAATGGGGTCAAAGCCAGGTCTTCACTACTGAGCTCATCTCAGACCCCACCCTTACCCTGGCTTTATTTCAGACTGGTGCCTCACGGCGCTGTATCGGATGGCAATGGTGCATGCCTTAGACAGAGATCGAGCAGCTTCTCCCACAAGGAAAGACCTGACAAACACCATGGTTCCATAGGTGAGCTTGTTACTCAGGGGTTTCACATACGTGCCATCAGGCTTCACCTGGAAAAGAACATGAGACAGATGCTTCCTTCTATTAAGTCCAAGAGGCAGTTTAGGCTAGTGGTTCTCAAAGTGTAGTCCCTAGAAGGGCAGCATTAGCATCAACTGGCAACTTGTCTGAATCACTAAATCTCAGTCCCCACCCTGACCTACTGAATCAGAAACTCTGGGGGTAGGGTCTAGCAATCTGGGTTTCAACCAGCCCTCCAGGTAATTTTAATGCATGTGAAAGTTTTGCAAACCAGGATATGCTCCTCGCCCCTGCCAACTGCTTCTGATTTCACTTTCATAATAAAAAAAGCATCCAGAGTAAAAATGTTATTACCTTCTAAAAGAACAGACCTTTCTAAACCCATCGTTATCAACAGCCATTGCAATCCCCATGTCTGATGTCTCTGCCCCTACCTTCTAACTAAATATACCTGGGCATGCTTCATCAGCATATTTTCTCTGGGAATACGATAGTTGTCCATCTTCAGGTAGCCATTATCTATCTCATCATAACCAAATTTGGGGCCAATGTCTCCAACAGTAATACCTAACACAGATCAAAGGAAAGTCATGAGATGTTTATGCTCTGGAATTCCTGGCTTTTCCTTCTCCTCTTTAGTTGTGCATTATACTTTTTGCAAAAGAAAGGTGTTCAGTTTAATTTTCATCTCAACATCAGATAAACAATTCTTACCCGGAAAAGGCTTATGGGTCCCGATTTCACGAATAGGTACAATAAAGGCATGTAATCCATAGCATTTCCCCTTAGTGATCAGTTGGGCAAGAACTATGGCATGATTTGAAGTCTTTCCAACTGCAACATCAAAGGGAACAAGAGAGAGAAATGAGCATACATTCTAACATTTCCAATGGGCAGAAACAGAAGGGAAGAAAGCATGTGTTAAACACTAGACTACATCAATAAAGTCTGTCCAGAAAGCCTTTCTTTTTTTTTTTTTTTGGCAGCTGTCTGGTACCAGAAAGCTTTTCTGATGACAGTATACCATACCTAGCTTTCAGAAAGAAATTCACTTAAGCTGACAGTTACTAAAATTTACTGAATTTTGGCAAGGCAATCCTTCATTTAACAAGACAGCTTTACTTTCTTTTCCACTTATTTCTCATGCATTTACATAAAGAAAATTTTAGGATACCCATAAGAACATTAATTTTAATTACTTATTTTTTTCCCTAAGGCACTGCTATCCAAGAGAGTAGTCACTAGCCAAATGTGGCTATTTACATTGAAATCACTTATAGTTAAATAAAATAAAAGATTTAGTTTCCCAGTCAACTAACAACGTTTCAAGTGCTCAACAGCTACAGAAGTATTTGTTTTTTGCATGCTAGTTTTTTTTTATCAAAACATAACGTCACATATTAAAAATACATAATGTGAATAACAAGATCCTTCAAACACTAACTCTATCTGAAATATATATCCCTAGACAATAATTCAAAATGGAATTAAGAAGATATTTAGTAATGAAAGTTTCATGCCAAAGCTATTTAAAATAAGAATTTGAAAACATGTCAAATGCTTGGCAATATGGAAATGACTAATCAAACAGGGGATACTAAGTTATTTTAAATGATGACTATGAAAACTATGCTAATACAAAGGAAAGTTTAAGTGAAAAACTACGAAAAGCAGAACAAGAGCGTTGTCATTTCTACACTCTGTGAAATGTATAAATATATATAACATGTACCACAAGAGAATGTGACATAGCTTAGAAGAGTTTAAGATTTAAGAGTTCTTCCTATGTTTCAAAATGATAATTTCACATAAGTTCTACATTCTAAACATTATTTCATAATAAATCTGCAAAATGTCCAATAAATGCTGAAAAATTCACTTACGCCCCCCAGGCCACCACTTAATAGAGGTAACAGTAGGACTGTTGAGAATGAACTCTTCAGTTTTGGGGTCATATGTGGCTGTGGTTTCCAAACCTCGAAGATGAGTTCCTATGGCGATAAATTACATTTACTTTAGATAAATATGGGGAAAAAACAGAGGGTAAAACTTCCTGCCAGGTCCTTTAAGCACTAATCTCTCAGAGAAAAACAAAATCTACCACCACCAAGAAAACATCTGTGGATGAGCTACAAATGGTTGATAACAAGGATATAAGGGTACTTCAAAACGTTCATGGATGGGCCAGCCCGGTGGCGCACTGCGCTAGTGCACCGCTTGGGAAGCGCGGCAGCGCTCCCGCCGAGGGTTCGGATCCCACATACAGACCGGTTCCCGCTCACTGGCTGAGCGAGG